CCAATTTCCCCCCCGTTTCCCCCCCTCACCTGGTTTTGCTGTTTATTTACTTCATTTTCCACCGTCACTTTGTCCCCGGGGCAGAGGAGATTGAAGGTAAGATCCCCCCTCACCTCCCCCTCTGTGTGTCCCCCCCACAAATATGGGGGCCCAAACACCCCCCAATGCCCCCCAACCCCTCACGGGGGGGTCCCAATCCCGACCTTCCTCCCCCTCCTGTTCCTCAGCCTCCAACATCGACAACGTGGTGCTGGACGAGGATCGTTCTGGGGCCCGGCGGCTCCAGAACCTCTGGAGGTGACTTTGGACCCCCCCAGGACACCCCCTAAAGTCCCCCTGACCCCCACAGCCCCATTTTTCTCTTTTTTTCTCTCTTTTTCCCTCATTTTCCCTGTTTTTTCCCCCAGGGACCAGCGGGAGGAGGAGTTGGGCGAGTATTACATGAAGAAATACGCCAAGTCCTCGGTGGGGGAGACGTGAGTGACCCCCCAGGGACCCCTCTGGGACCCCCCCCGTTATCGTGACAGGGAGGGGCCCCCTGACCCCCCCAGCCCCGATTTGCCTGATTTGGGGGGCTTTTCCCCCATTTTCCAGGGTTTATGGGGGCTCGGATGAACTGTCGGACGACATCACCCAACAGCAGCTGCTGCCCGGGGTCAAGTGAGTTTGGGGGCAGAAAGGGGCGAATTGGGGCCTGAAAAGGGTTTGACTGGGGGAGAAAGGAGGGAATTGGGTCAGATCCCCCTTTAATGGGGATTAACGGGGATGAAAAAGGGGGAATTGGGTCATAGTAAAGATTTAATTAGGGGGAAGAAGAGGAAATAGGGTCAGACCTCGTCCCATAACGAGGTTTCATTGCCCCCTCACAGAGACCCCAATCTCTGGACTGTCAAGTGCAAGGTGGGTGCTGAGCCCCCACCCCAAAACCCAAATCCCCGGTTTTCTGCCCCCAAACCCCCTTTCTGTGCCCAAACCTCCCGGTTTGTGCCCCAAACCCCCTTT